TTTTTTTTTTTTTTTTTTTTTGTTCTGGAAAACAACATCACTGTTTTCCTGCAGGTTAGTGATAAAGCTGCATAAATTTGCGAAATGTATGATTGGAGGAAGTCAGTTTTTGTGACAGATTAGCCACTCAGTCGACTTGTCAACAATTTTTACGTCTCGTTATGATATATTTTCGGTGTGGTTAAATCAACTACAGCAACAACCCATACAACTAGCAACATCTGTTGTTTGTTTTACAAATTATTCATTTTCACAGATGTGAGTTTTTTGTTACTGGTTTTTCTGACTTTTCATAATTAGTTTATGGAAATCCTATAAAGAAAAAAAAAACAGCTTATCACGTAAAAAAGTTTTATTTTTTATACACTTTTTTTATATTTCTAACTGTCCTAAAAGTTCATCTAGCTGTTTAATATTATGCAGTTGTATAAAAGCTTATACGAACAAAAAAATTTCACATTTTGTAAAACTAACTTACTCGTGGTACTAACACAAATTTTTTTATCTTAATTACACAATTATAAAATAATGTCAAAATTTGATTTAATACTTCAGATTTACATTAGTGTAGATAAGAAATTAAGCTGATAAACAATATTCAGCAAAAACATTAACTTTATCTTCATTTAGTCTTCTTCCTAAAGATTCTGCTCATCTGAAAGAGCTTTGATATGAGAAGAATAAAATTTTTATTTAAAGAATTTTTAAGACTTTTGTTAGGTCAAATTTTTAATACTGATTGCAACATAAGCTTTTTAACTAAACATAACTAAGAAGATCAGTATAAAGTTCATTTTCATAAACGAGGAGTAGAGAAAGTACTATTTAATAGCAACTTAAAGTTTCAAATTTTGCTGAAATAAATTATTGAAGAAAACTTTTTCTTTACTGTTGCAAAAATGAGTAAAAAGATGTCTTTTGCTAAATCATACTTTTTTGTTTTTAAACGTATTATTGAAAAATTTGTAACGGCTTTTTGTTGTCTTAAAATAAAGAGATTTAAGCATTACTTTTCTTGGTTTTTGACTTCTAACTCTTCTTCTTGATTATCTAAATTTTTTTTCAAAATATTGTTTTTTTTGAAACCTTTTGACGAAGTGCTAGTAAATATAACATTTCAGTGATTAAGTATGCAGAATTTTATTTAAACTTGATGGCTTTCAGTTACTGTTTTATCTGCTGTGGTTTATTGCAAAAGGCTAACTGCTTTTTTAGTATAGAGGTTATAGAAATTAACGTTTCAAAGTAAAACATTATAATGAAAATCAGTCGTAGTTAATGGCCAATCTACATCAGCACTAATGATGTATTCACTGATGGTGTTGCAGTATGAGACGAAAACGACTTTCAGAGAGCTTAAATCATGACAGAAACATACAGCCACACGTATCCTACA